TTAGCAACTTTGTCGTTGTGTCAGCGTCAGCCAACGTCTTAACAATTTCTGCTTTGGAGAACGCATAAGATGGCCGAAAAGGAAGATTTGGTCCAGCGTGCGAAGCTTGCCGAGCAAGCGGAGAGGTATGACGACATGGCTGCCGCGATGAAAAAGGTGACAGAGACGGGCGCTGAACTGACTAATGAGGAAAGGAACTTGTTGTCGGTCGCATACAAAAACGTTGTCGGGGCGCGACGAAGTTCGTGGAGAGTAATAAGCAGCATCGAGCAGAAGACGGAAGGCAGCGAGAAGAAGCAGCAGATGGCTAGAGAATACAGAGAGAAAGTGGAAAAAGAACTGAGAGAAATATGTCACGACGTCTTGGTAACGTATCTCACTGGCGCGGGGTTGTTTTCAGTTGTGAAGTTGCTTTTCAGGATCTCTTGGATAAGTTCCTTATCGCTAAAGCTGGAAATGCGGAGAGTAAAGTATTTTACTTAAAAATGAAAGGCGACTATTATCGGTATCTAGCCGAGGTTGCTACGGGCGATGATAGAGTTCGTAAGTATTTTGCGACTTACAGTGACCCTTACTCTTCTGTTATTCTGACGTTCTTGTCATTTTCGACTCATTTCAGCCATTGTTGAAAACAGCCAGCAGGCATATCAGGAAGCTCTCGATGTTGCAAAGGCCAAAATGCAGCCCACTCATCCCATCCGTCTGGGTCTAGCTCTGAATTATTCTGTGTTTTTCTACGAAATATTGAATTCTCCTGATAGAGCGTGCCATTTAGCGAAGCAGGTACACATTGATAACGATAATATCTTATTTTAATCGTGAACAGTTTCAGTGCACTTAAATTTGTGAATAGTAGACTTTTCAATTTTAGGACACGCGTAAAGGATATAATATGTTATTCGAGTAATTTCTAGTACGTGCTAAGCGTTTACATTGACTTTGGCCGATAGTTTCATTCCGCCACTTGCGCACGTTTTCTTTGGTGTTTAGGTCTACTGGTAGGTGCTTGTACATATGGTGCAAATCTCCGCCAAATTCATTGCGTTTCAACTGGTCGTTCTAAAAGTTGTTTTTGACCGTTGTTATACGCATGGGTTTGAATTGATATGTACCTGAGTTAGTTACTGTAGCTGATTTGCGTTAGATATATAATCAAGTGCTACGGTGAAAGTGCTGCCGTTAATTATTCGCATTACATTGTTCATGGTGACTTAATGTCGATTGTAGCTTTTGGTGAGTATGAATTCATTTTCACTAGCACTGTCTATAGTGAATGCGTTACGGAGATTGTGATTAACTAGTTTGAAGTTAGAACTCACATTTGAATAACTTTCGGGTTTGAATCGGGGGTGTCTGTATTTATCGTTTTCATGTGTAATATGGTGTTACAAGGTAAACATTTTGCAGCAATATCAAATGCCATAGTTTGGGGCCATCATCTGTCAAACCATGTTTTTTAAGTGTTAATAGAATTTGCTTTTATGGCAGCTTTCGGCTAGGTATGTTTCGAATTTTGTCATTTTATACACTTTTGCGGTTTAGGCATTTGATGACGCCATCGCGGAGTTGGATACGCTTAACGAAGATTCTTATAAGGACAGTACTTTAATAATGCAATTGCTCAGAGATAACCTTACGGTTGGTCTAAATTGCCTTTGTTTCAAGTATAATAAATCTTTGGGTTTAGCTGTGGACATCAGACACTGCTGGAGAAGAAGGTGAAGCAGGAGGCGAACAAGTTGAAGCTGCCGGTGGACAGTAGTACTCTTGCTCTCTTAGCCTGTCCATTATTTGTCTTTGTCTATGTACAATCGAACATGAATGCTATTGGAAACGAATTGTGGTCTTTACTCTTTGGAATTTTATCTAACGTAATTTTTAATACCTACATGTTTCCTTGCAGTTTTTCCTTCGAATAAATATTAACTAAGCTACTTCTGACAATAGTTGCATTGCTTGCGTATAGAGGCAGTTATATAACGAAGGACGAAAAAGTTTTCTGTTCACTAATTACCTTGAGTGCTTGAGTAGGAATTGTTATACGATTACTTCTTGTACTAGTAATTTGTGACTGCCGTTGGAATTCAGTCTAGTCTTAAGTGAAGTGCTGATAACATTGTCAGTAAATCGTCGAAATGGAATTAGAAAATGTGGCTGTCAAAGACCATGCTATAACTAAGTCGTGTATTGTAATTCTGGCATTCTGTGCAGGACAAGAGCAAGGTAAATAAAAGGTTGATATTTGTTGTTTCTATTGATGCGGCATGGGGTACGTTACTATTGCACTCAACTATTTTTGTTTCATAACTACCCAATATAAGTAGTTATAAGTGATGTGTGTTATATATGTAAGTTATAAGTGAGCTGTATGTGCGAAAGTTGATGCGATATCAGCTATACCGCCATTAAGAAGCATTTTCTGCATTTTAGCTTACGGTTGTAATTAGGCCAGTAGTAAGATGATGTCAGTAGTTTTGATTGCTATTTGGTTCATTCGTATTAAGTACTTCTTGTACGTGGCACCTTCCCTAATGGAGGCACAGCCCTGGCCCATGATAGGTATCGACGTAATGAAAATGCTCAGAAAACGTCTGCAGTGGTGTCGCTATTTTTTTCAGTCTGCTTAAGTACGTGTAGCCAGAAATTCCTGGAATGGACTGGGAACTTTTTCTTCGGTTGTGGCATTACTCACTCACGGCAGAGTTAAGCTGGTCACTTCACCGGTGGTGTAAGTGAGAATTACATGTGGGCTGACGTGTGGTTATGACACTATAGTTCGTTAGAAGTTCAATATTTCTGCCATTTTTCAAGATGTTCATTGCTTGTGCTACGTGCAAGTGTGTATGTAGTTTTGACAGTTTTTTCAGTGTCAAGTTTTGCCGGTTTACGGTCATGCGACTTTGTCCATAACATGTAT